CGATCAATTTTTGAGTGCGTGTCGAATGTTGTGTCGATCGAGTTGTCGGAATTGAACGGAATCGATTCCGGTGCGAAACAGGTTCCTGGAATGTTCAATATTGCGGAATAGGATGACTGCTCGTTCTACATGATATTAATGTTTATCATTTCGTTATCATTCAAAAGTTTATTATTCAAATATTGAGAAACCATTGAATTATTTTATACGACAATGATTATATAGAGTGTTTTAATTCTATAAAGATTAAAAATATTCCCAACAAAACTGAAATTAATAAAATCTGGATCTATTTTAATCATTTATTTAAACAAATATTCAATCGTGCTAAAGAATTATTGTTGTTATGATCATTTCTATAAATTGAAACTTTAATTTCTTCTTAAATAATTTTAGAATAATAATAAATAGAAAATATTATTCTATTTATATACTGAGATTAAAACGTAGATTTAGAGTCAAGATAAAAGTTTTATTCGTATTTATATTTTTAGAATTGATTTTTGTGTTTCATTTAATATTCAACTCAATTTTTTCTTTCGATTCGAATCAATATTATCTCGTAGATAACATATAGATAATACTGAGATATTTTCTGCTCTATAATGTATTTAGTTAATGAAAATCATAAAATATTTCCAAATTGAATTTATTAATCATACGTGATTCCTTTGATACTATCTACACTTTTCCTTTTTTCGTATATTTAGATATGATATTTTTAATTAATATTATTGATTAAATTTCTGCCGACAGAGTAAAAGTATTTTTTTAATTTCTAATTTTAGTGTTTGTTGATATGAATACAATTTAAACTTAACATAATAAATAAATAGAATTGAGAAATAAACTTTGAAAATAGAAACAAGTTTGTTTATTTGATTTTTTCTGTGCAAATTTTTAGTGAAATGCTATGTAATAGATCAATTCAATGTTGAAAACTATTTTATATATATGAAAGTTGATCAGATAAATACCGAAACTTATTTTAATATGAAAATTTTTCAATACAACTCTATTAAAAGAATAACTGAGATATCATCTAAACTAAGTTAATAAAAATGTTTTGCTTATCAATTCATTTTATTTGATCAATCAAGTAAATAAAATTTTTGATAGCTGTATTAACAATTTATTTATTTTATTTAAAATTGAATAAATAAACTATTTAAATAAATTCTAATCAGTTTTATTTATTTCTAGCTGTAATGAATGATCTTACTAGTTGAAAAAAAGAAAATATCATCTCATGCATCGTAAAATGTGCATGTATTCAAATATCAAATCAAGATGTAAATTTTTATTAGAATAATAGAGAAGTTTATACGGTTGTATTCTGAAAAACAAAAAAAATGTCTTTTGAAATTATTTATATAATTATTCGAAATAGTTTAATTGGTTTGTTTTTAAAAAACATATGTACGTGATATATGAACTATCTTATTTTTGAGCAAATTTAAATGTGTGTCGAGTAGAGAAATAATGCAAGATATATGACGATATAAAGAAACAGTGCGAAGGTTTTTCCTGATTTTTGATTGAGATTCTTTTTTGAAGATTTTTCCAGATATACATTATCAAGTTTACAACTAATGAGAAACTATTCGCTTTTAAGAAAGTTCGCTTTTGTTTTAGCTTATTCTAATTATCAGATCAATATCATTGGACTTTATTTTAGTTATTTTCAATTAAAATAACTCTCTCGTGAATGGTTAACGGTTCTAATATTTTAATAACAAATAGCACCTAACCACGTGCATTATCGAACATATAGATGTTCATTGATAAAAAGAAGATTAGTTGTCGTTCATATATTGAATATGGGTTTTACGATATCTTTTTTAAATTAGAAATTCATTGATTTTCATCCTTCAATTATAATAATCTTATATTACTCTACTGAGAACAATATGAAAAATAATATCAATAAGTTTTCTTTCTCAAGAAATTTATTTTGATTTCTTTCAACCACATTTGAACATAAATAATAATATTTTAATTTGTTTCCACCAATATTACTTATCATTGGGGTAAAAACTAGGTCCACCTAAATATAACACATAAATAAATTTTATTAATAAAAAAAGAACTTGCTGATTTAGCTATGGACACTTGTGGACTGAAATTCAATCAATGAATTTTTTCCTTATTTAAAACATTTTTTTGATTTGTGTCGACTGAATTTGAATATAAATAATAGTAATTTTTTTTGATTGAAACAAAATCACTTATATATAGATGATTTGAAATAAAAAAGAAAATTCATATGAATATAATTATGCTAACTATTCCATGTCTCACCAAACAAGATCTGAAGTCAAGAAGACAATCTATATGAATGTAATAATGTTTAGTGTTGTATTTCTAACTAATCATGATTTAAAGTAAGAAACCAAACTAGATAATTTTGCACGATACTTTTTGCCCTATTTCTAACTGTAGAGGATCAACACGAAAACGAAAATTTATATTCACATAGTTATGCCTACTGTTGGATTTTTAAACATATATAATCTTAAATAATAATAAAAGTTCGTATGAATGAAACCATCCCGACTGCTCTATTCGTCACTACTGACAATATAAACCAAAACACAGATGAATAAATGAAAATTAAATAGCATATAGCTACGTGAATTGTCGAACATATAGATGTGTATCGATAAAATGAAGATTAGTTACCATTAAAATTTTTGACATAATTTCACCATATCTTTTTTAAAATGTAAAACTTCATCAACTTTCTTTTATTAGATTAACTTTTTAATAGTTTATTGAAAAGAGTCCGAAAAATATTATTAATAACAAGTATCTTGAAATGAACTATTCTCGATTACGTTTGTTAATCATTTCGAAAACAAAAAGAATTAGATGTTTTTTGAATCAAGAAAAAATTGGTCCAGAAGAAATTATAAAGAATATTTTTGAGAAGTAAATTAGATTTTTCACAATCATCTACAATGAAACTCATCATATATAGACAATTCAATATTATTGTTCAAAATTTGTATCTCTTCATTTCTAAAAATGGTTTATTTTAAAATTATCTTTGATTAAAAGAACGTGTTCGATAGCATTGTTATCACTATCATCATCAGCATAATTAACACAGCAGGATTCTTTTTTTTTCTGAGATTAGCTATATATATATCATATATGGACAACTCTATCTACAGACATGGACGTGTATCACAATGAAAGAAAAATGTTCAAAGGAAGATAGCGAATAGAGACAGTGAGAGAGTAAGAGATCATATCTAACATGTCAGGATATTCTTTTTTTTTAATTTTTACTCGCAATTTAAATAGATCCTTTCAAGTTAATCAATGTTTCTGGCTTAATTTTTTACACTCTTTCCATTGATATCATTTTGATTGTCGATACAAGTGCAGTTTAGTCGCACCCTTCCACCTCACCCACACTTTGGTTGTATGTCCAATGTGTTAGTTGAATGTGAAAATGTGACTAAAGTGCACTTGTGCCTGATTGTCTACATGGAACTAAAATTTCATAGGAATCGATATATAGTTAATCAAAAAATTTTTTTTTATGATAAATTTCTTTTATTATATCTTCCTGCATAGAAGATAATTAAAAAACAAATTTTCTCCCTACAACGATGGCACTATATAATTTTGTTGTGATACATTCTTCAATCTGTTACTTATGGGCCTCTGTGTTTTGATAGTGTGACAGATAATAGTTCATCCCTGATTGGCTTACATCATTTTCTCTTTTTTTTGTTTCTGCCATACATATATGTATCCATAATTTTATTTGTATATTATCCAATAGATAGCGACTTTTTTTTCTTCACAAGTAACTCATGATTGATTCTGTCTCATATATTTTAATAAAATTATTTTTGAAAATTTGTATCACTGAAAATATTCGATCGATCTCGCAGATAAAAAAGAAAAAGAATATTTTACAATAATTACTATAAACAAAAGTCAAATTGCTTATTTTTTCGCTCATATGGGTTAGAGAAAACGTCTGGATTATTTCTAATTTCCAACTATGTCATTCATACTAATTTGCAATCATCCATTATGTCACCTTTTAATATTTGCCTGTCAAGTGTGTTTATAACATTATAAATGATGATTACCAGAGAAAAAAAAAGAAATTGATATTTCTTGCTTGAATAGCTGCTAATGTATTGTTATGTCATATATATAAGCTGCATGTCGAGTTTCGATTATCATTTTCGCTATAATTTCATTTGAATAAATTTAAAGAAATGCACAACTGTTATTTTGTTTGTAGATATTTTCAACAATTCCACTGATTATTAGTTATTCAGAATCCCTGCCAATCTATAGTATCAACGTCTTTGTTTGTATCAGCTATTCAAATCTATTTCTAGATATCAAGGAATACATCATCGATTTGTACATAATTTTTAATATTTTCAATATTTATTTAACTCTGTTACTAGTAGTAAACTCTCTCTATAGACAGCAGCGTTCTAGCGTCCTAGCGTCTTGATGATCAAGGACGCTGAGACGCTAGGACGCTATTATCTATAGAGAGAACTTATTGTTATTAGTAAACTCTCTCTATAGACAGCAGCGTCCTAGCGTCCTAGCGTCTCGATGATCAAAGACGCTAGGACGCTGCTGTCTATAGAGAGAACTTATTGTTAGTAGTAAACTCTCTCTATAGACGACAGCGTCCTAGCGTCTTTCTTCAATTATTTCCATGTTTCAATCATGGTTGTATTATATATAAAGACGTTAATTGTTTTCTTTTAGTCATTCATTGATCTTGCTTCGAACGAAAAACAAATTATCATATGGAGCTGTGCCATTTCAAGTTAAACAATGGTTCTGATTGTCTTAATGAAGTGACAGATTTCGTTTGTAGACATTGCTTAAAGAAATTTTGTCTTAGTCATGTAATTAAACATGCAAAAGAACTAGAAGAACTGTTAAAGTAAAAATTTTTTTAATTAGTTCGATATGAAACAGATCATGTTAATTTCAGATCAAGCATAATGCCGTCCGATACAACTTCCGATGTTAATCTTTTTTTTGAAGCAGCCAAAGCACCATCGATGTCATATACGTCGTCATGTTCTTTTCGCATGGGTACACCAATTGATAACTGTATAATGAATCCATCTTTGGTCCAATCAACTTCGGTCTCGAGTTTATTACAAGATTTTTCAGGTGAAGCAGAAATATTATTTCATCCATTAGCTATATCAACACCAGCTAATCTAGTCGAATATGATGCGTCACAAATGCTAGGAGTAGCCGAATATGACAGTCGTATTTCTACAAATCACCTAATCAACATTTTGAATTCAACAACAAACAATCAACAAAATTTACTTAGTTTTACTACAGATCAATCGATGAATATTTCGACAGGTGGAATTGAATCTAATGATCTACTCACGACAATGCAATCGATCTTACAAGAAAAATTAAATACAAGCAAACGAATTAAAATAATTCGAGATGAAAGTTTTGTTGATGAAGATTGTGATAGATTCAATCGTATAAATTTTTTTCTGAAAAATATTGCGACATCTATGACTTGTATGAATATATTCATGTCCATTGGAACAACGTATCCATTAGTTCAATTAGATGCAAAAGCGGCTACACCAAAAACTCAATATCTTTGCATTGCCGGTAATGTTCTTATTCATATGAACCATATTAGTAGATGATAAATTTTAGATACATCGAAAACATCCAATGAAAACTTGATTTCAATACATCTTTGTTTTCAAAATAAAGTAAATTTTAAACACAAATTTCTTAATCATCTTTTTCCAGGTAAAGATTTAAATCGAATATATCTTATCTATATATCTTTTTCGATAGATTTAAAAAAATCAGATTATTTGTCTTTACTAAATGGTGATCCATTCAATGCTGAAATTAAATTATTATCAAAAGGAAAATATATTGAATCATCAATATATTCAGCTAAAAAAGAATCATCAATATATTCACCTAAAAAAGAAAAGTTTGCGTCGAACAAAGATTATCATGTAAAGCAAGAGGAGGTTGCTGATGCTGCATTTCGACAAGAATCTTTCGCTAGCGGTATGATGATTTATTCACCGATATATATATTCTTTAGAAGATGTTTTTTTTTCTAGCTGTTGCAATAGTGAAAAATAATCTTAAATTCGAATATTTAGTACGAGGTAAACCAATTAGAGACAATATTGAATATGAACTACAAATGAAGAAAAAGCAGAAAACAATGGAATATAAACCATTTTATGATTCAACAACATTTAAGTAACGATTCTCCACACACAAATTTCACAATTTTTTTATTTTATTTTAGAATTCCCGAAGAACACGCAGCGATAATAGACGATTGGCTAACTAATGATTTTCGAAAGCGTATTAATAATGAAATTGCTCGATCAAGATCTTTATTCTTGACTGGACCAACTAAACACGGTATCTAGTTTGGATTCTTTTAATTTATGTGTTAAATAATAGATACAATTTAAAGAAATACTTCTATTGATGAACGCATATTGAACAGATATCAAGGAATAGACGTTATGCTGATAGATAAAACAATACATGTATACATAAAATCAATGACGATAGAGCGAAAGAATTTTTTTTTTCGCTCAGTCATGTTAACACATACATATTGAACGGATAATAAATCAATAGGAGACATGTTGATAGATAAAAAAAATACATGGATATATTAGATCAATGACCGCAGAATGAAAGATATTATCAATAATCAAATGGTCAATCATATGGACGAATATTTCTCTGATTCATTTTGAATCAATACAGATTGATGTAAATATTATTGTTTTTAATGATGACCTGAGCATTCATTTTTCTTTTCCTGTTTTTGACCTAATGTATACTTTTTCTTATTTGAAAAGAAAAAGATAGAAAGAGTCATATTTCTATTCTGTTGCCGATGGTCAATTTTCGATTTCCTATGTGATTTCTTACTAACTAATGTACGTTCGTTGACACTTTCGTTAATGTATTGAGAAAAAGTGAGAAAGAAAAAATTAATTCTATTCTACATCATACATCACTCTTAATTTTGTACAAGTCAATATGAACGCATGTATATATAGTTCAATGAAGTGTATGTGTATTCAATAATAATCTTTAATTTCTAAACGACGAGAAATTGATTCTTTTTAACGCCATATAATTGTTTTTATTTTAAACAAAAATTTAGTTAATGGTCAAGAATTTTTATTTATATCGTATTAGAGAAATAAATATTCAGAAAGGAGACTAATTGTTTCTTTAACCTTGATCTTTTGAAATGGGTGAAGAAAAAAGAAGTATTTCTTTTTTGCTTTATGCAAATAATAATAAAAACAGTCGATTTTAATATGAAATAATTCAAAGAAATTTTGATATATATACATATTAAAGTTATATAAGAATCTAACCTTATATCATCTGAATATTGTAATTGGTCTGAATTATATCCATTATGTTGTTCATTATCAAATAATCTTCTTGATTCTATTTCGTGGTGGTATTCTTCTTGATCGCCATGACCATCATAATCTTCTTCCTCCTCTTCCAGTTCGATTTCTTTTTCATAATTCATCATTGTTAACTGAACAATTGGATTTTGTTGATCTACTATAATATAATCATGATCTTCATTTGTGTTTGTTTTTTCTTGTTTATTTAGTTGTTCACCGTATAACATCATAGGACAATGATTATATTGTACAGTCGATGTCATCGATGAATTTACCGAGACAATGTCTGCATGTGACCTTATCTTACTATTATATTTAAAACGATGACTAACATTGTCATAATCGGATAGAGTTTGTTCATTATTTTCTTTTATAATTGTATATTTCACTGCATGAGCTACACCAGTAAAACTATTATTAGCTGGAGTTTGATTTCTATGTATTTAAATAATCTCTTCATCTTTATTTTTCACATTGGAATTGCTATGCAAAACAAAAAAACGATCATTTGAAGTATCATATAAATGATTAGATTAAAAGATTGAAATTAAATATTTGGACTAGTATAAATATATGTTCTAACTAAATACTTGTATTAGAGAAAGAAACTCTTTCTTTCTCGTTGGCATTCAAATTGTTGACGAAGCTTATATAATAAAACAGTAGACACTTTAACTAAATGGAATTGACAGAAAATGTCGAAAAGAGAATATGTTTAAATAAGCCGTAGGTTATTAAAAAAGAAAACATCGAAGGAAACAATATTATTAGAAGTACTTTTATAAACAATCTCATTTAACTATTGTTTCTTATTCAGTTAGTGTCATTGATGTTTTAAACTACAATACTTAGAACTATTCACTCAAGGCATACTACTCAACAATTTATTAGAACTAAAATAGTATAGATTGAATTTTCACACTTATCATCGTCAATAGAAAATTTAACTTACTGTAAATCAAAATTCATATTATTATAATTATATTGTTTGATATCCGATGTCATTTCTTCTGAAATTTCATCGATATCTGAACTACAAATAGTTGTATCTAAATAAACACTTGTATTTTGTTCAAAACTAAATTCTTTTGATAAATTCGATGTAATTGTTGTAAGAGATGATATATCATCTAATCGAGTTATTTCTTCAGAAGACAAATAAGTATTATCATATTCAATAGTATTTGTTTGTTCTTCTGAAAAATTTGTTGTTGCTGTTATAGCCATTGTTGAATGATTTGAAAGAGAATATGTTTCGATTCTCTTTGATAATGAAGAACAAATATGATTAAATTGTTTTTCATTAATTGAAGAATTAATATAATTTTTTAAAAATTTAGTTGAATTATGATTAGGATAAAATTTATTTGCAAGAACATTTTGTAAAGCTTCAATTGATGATGAAGGATCTAAACAAAAATATATTCTTAATAAAAATAAAATATATTTTTAATCTATACCTTTATCATCTGATGATTGATTTTTATTAATAAAGTCATTTTGTTCTTGATTATTATTATTATTATTACGTAAAGGATATATTCGTTCTTCCACTAAGAATTTCATATCACTTTACTCTTTGAATAACAAACTAATGATATTAATGAAAATGTAAGATATTTTTCTTCATTATTACCATTGGGACATATCCAGTGTCCATTTAAAATATCGGACAGTTTAGTCAAACCTATTGATTGTCACGTTAAGATATCTATCTTGATGTTTTTATTTCATACAATTGTCACGAATTCTTCTTTTTGAGATTATTACAAATTGAAACGAATGAAAAATGTAGATATATGTATATTATCACGCACACGAACTTTATGTATATATGGAACACACTAATATTCGTGAGTTGGTATTAATAAAAAAATGATGTAAGCTCACATATTAATCATATATAGATAGCTTGAGTATTTTGAATTTAATTTAAAAAAAAATTATTATCAAATAAATTTCTTAAAATTAACAATATAATGAATGAGTTTTGAAAACTTGTTCTTCTTGTTAGTTTTCTATTTTATTAATTCATCCTCATCGATCTATTTTCTCGCACATTTTTTTAGTAAATATCAGAATTTGTGTATGGCATATTTTATTCGTTCAAGACGAAATAATTGATAGAGGTCACCTCCTAACACTTGTCATAATCTAAAATATCATTCTTCTTTTATTATTCAATAAATATTTGTTGAAAAAAAAAGACAGAAGCTTGTTTTATTGATACATGTACAAGATGAGAGAAAGCAGTATAAGACATGTATGAGAATAGTGATCATTTTTAGTTTTAGATTTATAATATCATTGACTTGGTAACTTTCTTTAATATATTTGTAAAAACAACAGTATTCAAATTATTTATTTCATATTTTTAGAACTTCATTTATTATGTAGTCTTACTATATGGCTGAGACATCATTATGATACTAGATTAATACGTGCAACTGGTATATTATTAATTGAAGAATTATTACAAATTCTTATAGTTATTTTTCAACATGCTGTTGAAACAAATCGTTTTCCTTATGGAGAATTTTTTCTCGATATTATTTGCGTATGGATATTCCTAGCAGCAATATTAATTACATTTGCTTTAGCCAAGAAAATTTCTAAATATAAAGCACGTATAATAAAATTGGAATCATTTCAAACATCTATTACGAAATAATGAATGAATGGTAGAGGAGATTTTTCACTTTAGAATGTTTTTTTAAATAAATATTCACAAGATAGAATCGCCTTTTTTTAATTAATTGATCATCAATTTATTTCAAAGACACATGTATAAACTATTTCTTTTTTTTTGTTATATTAAATAAAATTTAGAATTGATAGAAAGTATGAATATCTATCGTTGAAATAATATTTTTGAACTTATATCTTATTAAGATGTAATGGTTATAGAGAAATAGATGTTTTTTATTTTAAAACTGTTGAAAAATTTCAAAGAAATAATAAAATGAAGCTGTCAAAAAAATATATAGCTCTTTGAAATAATCTGGCAGATAATTATTATAGTTTTTTCTTTGCTGGTTTTTGTTTAATTAACTTGCATTACCATTTGTTTCATTCCGTTGCTTTTTACATATATGATCTTAACAAAGAAATGTTTACCATTATTCTCATTGTAAGAAATAGTCAAAAGGGCAAATTTTATTCTCTGTTTTTCATATAACCATCAAAGAAATATCAGATTATGAACATCCTAGAAAATGTTGATATTGCATGATACCATAAAAGAATATTTGAAATAGAATAAATATTCCAATATCACCTCTCATGAATATTTGCTTCTTCAAAACTTTATGTTGTCAGAATTGTTTATTTTTGCAGTAATACATTTGATATCAACGTCATAGATATAAATAAAATATACAAATACAATTGTAAATGATTTCGACAGAAGATGCATATGTATATTATAGATTTTCAATATAATCATTAATACTTTAATATAGGAAAGAAAGTCGAAGTACTCTTTTTGGAATTGATGATAAACTTTGGAAAAAAAACAACGACATGTATTATTTTTATATTGTCTTTGCAACATATATATATATATAGCAGATTTAATTCTTATAAAATATCTTCAAAGAAATCCTCAGATAAAAAAATGAATGTGAAAAGAATATCTATTGTATAATCTTAAATCTAAAAATTATTTGATAAACAAAGTTCTTAGTCAGAGATAAATGAAAAAGGAGAAGAAGCACTTTTCTTTCCTCTCTATTTCTTTTATAGTCGTCTCATTTCCTATGGTCTTTCATTCGAAACACAAAAAAGATCGCAAAATAGTATATGAATGTATATATATATATATATATGATAGTTCTGATCACATTTATCAACTTATTTGTTAAAGAACCATCTTGAGGGTGAGTGTAGGTGTAAATATGGGTAGGTGTGGTAGTGGATAGGTGCGTTTGGGTGGGTGGGTAGGTGCGGATGTGGGTGAGTGGGTAGGTGTGGATGAGCGTAGATGTGTCCGAGTGGGTGGGTAGGTGTAGGTGCGAGTGTGGATGTGGATGTGGGTGTGGGGATGTAGATGTGGGTGGGGCTGTGGAAGTGTAGATGTGGATAGGTGGGTAAGTGTGAATGTGGGTGTGGGGGTGTAGATGTGGATAGGTGAGTAAGTGTGAATGTGGGTGTAGTTGTAAGTGTG